CTCATCAATTAAATCAGCTACTACACAATTGGTATTTTAAATTTTGATAATGGCCAAATTGAAAAACTGCATAGCCACAAACTTTTATTAATTATTCACTCTCTATTAATTGGCCTTGATAATGGGAGAAACATGTAGTATATTTTTAAACAGTTGACGATCAAATTACACACAATACAACAAGAAAAAAAACATGTGATGGTATATATGGATTCATTGAGCCCAACGGGCTTCATATAGTAAGAGATTCAATTGGGCTTGCGACAGTTGGTACGGATCTGACCATTGGATCCAGTAAGGGGACTGATGTCACCCATCTTAACCATAGCCTTTACGAAGTCACTATAGAAGGCGTCGAGACTACGGCTATAGGCAACGACGAGTGAGTCAGTGGAACCGTTGTTGAAGAGGACTTGGTCTGACGTGAGAAGACCCCTGTGGTTGAGAAGAAGCCTGTAGTAGTTACGGTCGAATCTACCGGGAGAACGGAGGTCAAGAGTGGCTGCATTGTTGTCACCGGAGCCGGAGGAGGGAGGGCAGGTCCTTTGTCTGGACAAGGCGAAAGTGAGATCGATGTTGCTTTCGTTGTAGATACGGTTTCTGAATGTGGCGCACTTGGCTTGTCCAATGGTGTGTGCACCAGAGAGAGCAACCAAATCACGTGGGGACAAACCTTGTGCTCTAAAACGTTTGATGAGGTTGTTGAGAGTAGACGTCGGAGGAGGGATGACGCCGGAGTTAGCGGCCGACAAGCTAGCTGTCTTAGAGTCTCGTCTTCCAAGCTTCACGCTCCAGCTAGGCCCACCCAACTGTTTAGTTCAAAAGGTGTAAGTAAGAAGATCATACATGGAGATACGTATGCATGCCTGGTTACTTAAGCAAATATACGTTTAGAGCCACTGTTATAAATTAGATATCTTTCAAGTCTTTCGTATTGTTACATTTTTTTGGTGTGATTGGTAGTTCGTCTGTTTTTTTTTTCCTTTTATCGTTTGCTTGTTTTTTTGTTTGTCATTTCTTTGTTTATCAGATTTACAATCATTATAATGTGTTGATATGGAGTTGTAGTCAAAAATAATTTTTCATTAAATGCACTAAAAAAATTAGTATGATGTTACGAAAGAAAAAAAATCGATGTAACAATATTAATTTTATCAACATTTTGAGTTGGTCTCACTTCTCAGAGAGCATAACTTTTATCGGCTTTTTTCCAAAAAAAAAATACATTTTGAGTCGGAAAAATTAGAAAAAATGTTAGGGCCGGTTATGTACGTTTGCGCACACTAAATATATATTAGATAGTCTATATATAGTTAATAGTTGTATACACATGTTGTCGTCTCAAACTATTTGAAGACTTTTGAGACAAATTTTATTAAACG